GTCCGCTACACGGGTTATCGAGACCGGCCTGTGGAAGAGCGTCGACAGAAGTGCCAAAGTCAGTGCAGAGACGGATATACGGAAATCGTGAGTATACCCACTCTGTATACGTCTCTGAGAGTATATTTGTAGTTTGTACAAGTATTTAGCGCATACTGCCACCACAGATAGATCTGTTTTTGTGTGTGGTCTAGGGAAGGGGGTGTGAGGGAAGATTATTATTATTATTATTATTATTATGATAGTTGTTGTTGCTCGAGAGAACACCAGAGTTCTTATGATGGACGGAACACCAATCTTCCATATGGAGGGAACACACCAGTGTTGTTATAAAGGAATGGAGGGAACACCAGTGTTGTTATAAAGGAATGGAGGTAAAACAAGTGTTGCGTGTGAAGGAGGGAACACCAGTGTTCCGTATGTTGGAAATTAATCCCAGTGTTTCGCCACCATTGTTGGGGCGATACATCGCCTGGAAATTCAAAGGAAGCAACGCAACAACACAGCTTCTCCGAAGAGGTAAAACCAAGACGACAGCAGGAACGACAAAACGCTCCGGGATGACTTGGATAAATTGCCGTTTAACGCCGACAAATGTAAGTTCTTAAGCTCTGGGAGAGAGAATAATGCCAGCGCTTATGACGTCAATAATATAAAACTTGACAAAACACAGCGTGTAAAAAAGGTGTAGACTGTAGTTACTAGAAACCTGAAGCCTTGGTACATGAGTGCTGGTAATGAAGATACTGTATTCTGCAGCTGTGTTTCAAGAGGTGCACGTAATGCAAGCCTGGGAAATGTTATATGCACAGACAAGTGCGTGTCTCTCACTGTATATACACTGAGAGGTTAGCATCTCTCAGTGTATATATACAGAGATGCGTGTCTCTATACTGAGAGGTTAGCACCTCTTAGTGTATATACATAGAGATGCGTGTCTCTCACTGTATATACATTGATAGGTTCCATCCCTCAGTGTATATACGAAAAGAGGTGCATGTCTCTCAGTGTATATACCAAAAAAATTATGTTTGTATGTAATACAAGCGCGGGAAAACTTATACATGAAGAGGTGCGCATCTCTGAGTTAATATACCACCAGATGTGTGTCTCTCAGTTTATATACCACGAATGTTTCTCTCATTTTTAAAATACCACCAGATTTTGGGGCCCCCTCTCGTTTAATACCCCCAAAAAGTGTGTCTCTCATTTATATACCCCCAGAAGTGTTGCTCTCAGTTTATATACCACCAATGTTGTCTCTCAGTTTAAAAACCCCAGAGGGTTGTGCCCATTAGTACCACCAGATGTGGCCCTCTCATTTAAATAACCACCAATGTGTGTCTCTCATTTATATACCGCCAATGTGTGTGCCCTCTCAGTTTATAACCACCAGAAGTGTGTCTCCATTTAAATACCCCAGATGTTGTGTTCAGTTATACCACCAATTTGTTTCTCAGTTAATAACACCAATGTGTGTTCCTCAGTTAAAACCCAGATGTGTGGTCTCTCAGTTTTATATCCCAACCAGATGTTTGTCTCTCATTTTAATATACCACCAGAGGTGTCCCTCATTTAATATCCACCAATTGTGTGCCTCATTAAATATACCACCAAGTTTGTCTCTCAAAAAATTTACCACCAGATGTTGTGTGTGTCTCTCAGTTTTATATACCACCAATTTGGGGTGTCTCTCAGTTAATAACCACCAGATGTGTGTCTCTCATTAATAACCCCAGATGTGTGTGTCTCTCATTAAATATACCCCCAAATGGTGGTCCTTTTTTAATATACCACCAATGTGTGGCTCTCATTTAATATCCACCAGATTGGTGTCTCTCAGTTAATATACCACCAGATGTGTGGTCCTCAGTTAATAAACCAACCAGATGTGTGGTCTCTCGTTAATATACCACCAGATGGTGGTCTCTCGTTTTTATCCCACCAAAATGTGTGGTCTCTCATTAAATACACCAGTGTGTGTTCCTCATTAATAACCACCAGATGTGTTCTCTCTTTTAATACCACCAGATGTGTGTGTCTCTCATTTTATATCCCGCCAATGTGTGTGCTCTCAGTTAATAACCGCCAGATGTGTGTGTCTCTCAGTTAATATACCCCGGGGGGGGTTTTGTCTCCATTTTTTAAATCCCACCAGATGTGGTGTCTCTCAGTTAAATACCACCAGATGTGTGTTCCTCATTAATATCCCGCCAATGTGTGTCTCTCATTTAAAATATACCCCCCAAATGTGTGTGGTGTCCCTCAGTTAATAACCCCAATGTTTGTGTGTGTCTCTCGTTAATAACCGCCAATGTGTGTGTGTGTCTCCAGTTTAATATACCACCAGATGTGTGGTGTGTCTCTCATTAATATACCGCCAATTGTGTGTGTTCTCTCATTAAATACCCCAGATTGTGTGTGGTCTCTCATTAATATACCACCGATGTGTGTGGTGTCTCTCAGTTAATATACCACCAGATGTGTGTGTGTTCTCTCATTTTTATATCCACCAGATGTGTGTTCTCTCATTAATATACCGCCAAATGTGTGTCTCTCATTAATATACCACCAAGGTGTGTGTGTCTCTCAGTTAAATACCGCCAGATGTGTGTCCTCATTAATATACCCCAATGTGTGTGTCTCCATTAATAAACCACCGATTTTGGTGCTCTCAGTTAATATACCACCAATTTTGGTGCTCTCAGTTAATATACCACCAATGTGTTGTCCCCTCAGTTAATATACCACCAGATTGGGGTGTTCTCTCAGTTAAATACCGCCAATTGTGTCTCTCATTAATAAAACCACCAGAGGGTTGTGTCTCTCAGTTAATATACCGCCAGATGTGTGTGTCTCTCATTAAAATACCGCCAGATTGTGTGCTCTCATAATTACCGCAGATGTGTGTGTCTCCAGTTAATATACCGCCAAAATTTTTTTGGTCTCTCATTAAAATACCGCCAGTTTGGGGTCTCTCATTTAATATACCGCCAATGTGTGTTCTCTCATTAATATACCACCAATGTGGTTCTCTCATTAATAACCGCCAATGTGGTGCTCCAGTTAATATACCCCCAGAGTGTTGTCTCTCATTTAAAAAACCGCCAGATGTGGGGTTCTCCATTAAATACCACCAATTGTGGCCCTCTCATTTAATATACCGCCAGATGTGTGTGTCTCTCAGTTAATATACCCCCAATTTTTGTGTCTCTCATTAATATACCACCAATGTGTGTTCCTCAGTTAATACCACCAATGTGGTGTCTCTATTAATATACCCCCAGAGTGGTGTCCCAGTTAATATACCACCAGATTGTGGTCCTCTCATTTTATATACCGCCGATGTGTGTGCTCCTTTTAATAACCACCAGATTTTGGTGTCCTCATTAAATATACCACCAGAGGGTTGTCTCTCAGTTTAAACCACCAGAGTTTGTCTCTCAGTTTTATACCACCAGATGTTTTTGCTCTCAGTTTATATACCCCAATTGTGTGTCCTCATTTTAATCCACCAATGTGTGTGTCCTCATTTAAATACCCCCAAATGTTTTTGTGTGCCCTCTCAGTTTATATACCACCAATGTTTCCTCATTTATAACCACCTGTTGTGTCTCCGTTTATATACCCCCAAAATGTGTGTGCTCTCATTAATAACCCCCAGATGTGTGTGTGTGTCTCTCATTTTTATTACCCCCAAATTTGTGTGTCTCTCATTTAAAACCACCAGATGGGGGTTTTCTCTCATTAATAACCCCCAGTTGTGTGTCTATCATTTAAATACCACCAAAGTGTGTGTCTCTCAGTTTAAAACCACCAGTTTTGTGTGTCTATCATTTAATACCACCAGTGGTGTGTCTCTCATTTATATCCCACCAGATGTGTTGTTTTCAGTTTATATCCCAAACCAATTGGGGTGCCCCTCTCAGTTTAATACCACCAAGTGTGTGCATCATTTATATACCACCAGATGGTGTTCTCTATTTTAATACCACCAATTGGGGTGTTTCGTTTATATACCACCAATTGTGTGTGTCTCGTTTATATACTACCAATTGGGGTTCTTTCAGAAAACAAGCGAGAATAACTCTCGAGATAGTTTTTGATTTCATATCGAACGTTAAAAAAAAAACAAGCGTGAAAAAGGAGTGTACTGGTGTAATACCAAAGGAGTGTATCTGTGTGTATATATGCCAAGAGGAGGGGATCTTTATGTAAATATGCCAAGGAGAGATATCTTTGTGTTATATGCCAAGAGGATGTATCTTTGTGTATATATACCAATTTTGGGAAAAATATATAACACCAAGAGGTGTAATCTTTTATATAAAACAAAAGGTTTGTGTGTGTGTGTGCTTTTTTTCTAGAAGTACATTTCAAGGTATACGACCCAAAGCGGCTCAATCAACTCTAAGAAAGTCCTTTTTAGCTGACATTTCGGGGAAATAGGTCAGTTTTGTCCCCGATGCGACCCACAACAGTCGAGTAACACCAGAAACCCTTTTACTGATGGGGGGCATAGACAACCGGGAAAGAAACACGCCCAAGTTTCTACCCTCGCCGGAATCGAACCCGACCCAGCCGTGGAACGAGAGCTTTAGCCACCATCACGGGGCGATCCACCCTCTTAAGCAACCGCGTTGTCCATGTTTTCAGTGAAAGGGTCAAGATTCCCAAGTCAATACCTTTTTCATTCTTTCCAGTGATTCCTTTTGGGGATAGATATTTTTGTAAGAAAAGTGGATTAGTTTTTTTTGCTGATGTTAACTACACCTTCCGCATGGACCCTGTAGTGGTTAGATTGATAGTTTAAACAAAACCCTAGCTTATAAAACTGCGTGGTGGTGTACACATTTGGAGACTATACAATTAAAACCAGTGAATTACATCACAGTGGTGATGTACATCATAGTGGTGAGTGTACATCACATAATAGACTGTACAAATGGCCAAAGCTGATATTTCAGCGCTATTTACACTGGATTTGGGGACAGCACAACCAGTAGTAACAGCCTTTAACTTTTTGGGAAAGTCTTACTGACTTTAGAACTAATTTTGCTTTACGACAACGCGAAATATCACCAGAA